TCAAAAGGGTAGGTCTTTTCTTTTAACATTGTTCAGTCTGTAACTCTCTTTCCTTTTCTTGCTATTGATTATTACTTTTATGATGGTCTCTTTCTCAGATTGTCTTGGAAGCAGATGGTTATCAACCTTATCTGATATCTCCAGAGAAAGGGTTAAGATCGTTAATTAAAGGTGTCTTAGAGCTAGCAAAAGAACCATCACGTTTATGTGTTGATGAGGTAAATCTGTGTATCTGCTTTAACCTAACATGTTCTTGTTGAAGTTGAATGCATGTTTATAAGATACACAAGCAATTGGAAATTTTCTGAGATAATCCTGGACACATGGTTAGTTTGGGCAAAAACCAACATTTAGCCCCTTACCTTACAAAGTTGGTAGGTTTTAGCCCTTTTACCTTATAATACGACACTTTAGCCCTTTACCTTACAAATTTGGTAGGTTTTAGCCCCTCACCTTACAAAGTTGGTAGGTTTTAACCCCTCACCTTATATTATGACATTTTTATCCCCTCACCTATACGAATTGAAGAAAACAACTCCCACCTAATATTAGGTTATAACATTCTATTGGTTCTATTAGCTGACTATTAACATCCGTTAGCATTTCGTTGTAGAAAACATGAAATTTAAATTCAATTTTATTTGTTAGTTACATTAACGGAATGCTAACGGATGCTAACAGAATTGACAGAACATTATAACCTGATGTTGAGTGAGAGTTATTTTCTTCAATTTGTATAGATAAGGGGCTAAAAGTGTCATAATATAAGGTGAGGGGCTAAAACCTACTAATTTTGTAAGGTGAGGGGTTAAAACCTACCAACTTTGTAAGGTAAAGGGCTAAAAGTGTCATCTTATAAGGTTAAGGGCTAAAACCTACCAATTTTGTAAGGTGAGGGGCTAAAAGTTGGTTTTAGCTGTTAGTTTGTCGCATCTCTTAGTGATTTTTGCTTATTTTTCTGTTTAATTTAACTTTTGGATGTTTGTTAAAACAGGTGCATCGTGTCTTGTTGGATATTGTTTCTGCTTCTGCAAATGCAACACCTGGTCTTGGAAGATATCCTCCTTTCAAGAGAGAGGTATTAACGTAATAAATTTCAAGAGAGATGTTTGAAATAAGTTATTTTTCTAATAAATTTATACCAGGTTGTGGCAATTGCAAGTACTGCACTTGATAGCTTCAAGAATGAAGCCAAAAAGATGGTAGTTGCATTGGTGGATATGGAGCGTGCATTTGTGCCACCTCAACACTTCATTCGGCTTGTGCAAAGGCGGTATGTTTGAAGATGAACTCCTATGATTTTTTTTAATAGTTAAATCTTTGTTCTCTACTAATATAGAATGTTGGCATCCTGTTTCTTTTTTTCCATTAGTTATCCAAATTTGATTTCAAAAGTTACTAATATGAGTCACAAATAAATGGAATAGAAAAAGATGACCTGATTATTGAAATGTGTATGGAACTTGTTTAATAGCTGCCAATTTGATTTTTAAGCAGTTTGTTTTTTACTATCAACTCTTGTTGATCATTTCTTTTTTACTAGAATGGAGAGGCAGCGTCGAGAGGAAGAGCAAAAGGGTAGATCATCCAAGAAGGCAATTGAGGCAGAGCAGTCCATTCTCAATAGGGTGTGCACTAATTCCTTTATTCTGAGTTGGCTTGAGTAGATCATATTTGTATGAATGAAGTCTCCCATGATGCAATTTCTGCCAGAAAAACTGATTACTTGATTTGCTTCTGCATCTCCTCTTTCCAGGCAACCAGTCCTCAAACAGGGGTGCAACAATCAGAAGGAAGCTCAAAATCGATGAAAGATAAATCAAGTAAGCCAGATAAAGATGTACAAGAGGGAGCAGCCCTGAAGACTGCTGGACCAGGTGGTGAGATAACTGCAGGTTAGTACTTACTATTTACCTAGTAAATGGAGCTTCTTGTATATATAAATATTAAATTTTGCTCATGTTCAATGCCACCTAAGAACATAATTATGTTTTGTTTATCTTAAATTTTAGCAATTGACTAGTAATCTGACGAGTAATATAGATTAATTTATGGCAGTTGAAGCTATAAGCTTTATGATTATTTTGTGGTCGTTTAATTCTCATATGGTGATTGTGGATGGAAGGATCCATGCATCAATAGAGGTTCTTATTTTCTCCTTTGTAAGAGATAATGATTGCATAATTAGGTGGCTCCTCATTTTTGGAATCATTATCATCCTTTA